ACAAGCCCGGGGATCAAGATACATTATACGCTTATACTAGTAATTAAGTGAAGATTTGCTTGCTTGCTGAAATGTAGACTCAGAAGTCATACAGTCTATAATAAAAAATGTTTTCAATATTACGTCTCCAATATGCTACTACCTGCAAATCTAGTGATTGACAATTAATTAATGTTACAGGTGAACTTGCCATAGATCCCTATTATTTGGCGGTTTAATCACAATTAGAATGTGCTTGCGTCCAAAATAAAATACAGCTTAGTTGCATTGACATTATTACATGTAAAATAAATAACTAACCTTTCAGGCCCGTAGAACGCAGGGGGTGGGGTGGGGGGGACTTTTTTTCTGTGTATAGTTTTTGCTATATAGTAAGTTTCCCTTTAGATGCCGGTTGCCCCCCCCCCAAACCCCACCCCCACTTTTTGATGTTGTAAGGGCGAGCACAGTTAATTTCCGGGAATCGGGTTCGTGCACTAAATTAATGTTCCCGGAACAATGTTTAGGATCATTAATTTAGTGCAGCACGAACCCAATCGCAAAACCCGTCATAAAAAAGAGGAATGTTTTAAACTGAATTACTCTAGCATCTGTTGGTCAAAAGTGACAAAACTCAAACTTGATCTGTAGTTTGTCACTATAAAGGTACCCAGCAAGTTTCATATCAAATCTCAAAAGCAACAGAAGAAAAGTGCGGAAAACAATTGGAACAGACTGACAAACAGACAGAGGGACAGCTAGACGGACGGACAGATAGATGGACGGACGGACAGACGCAGAAGAAACCTATAGTCCCCTCCGGTTTCACCGGTAGGGAAATAATAAATAAGTACCATTCATGAGATAGTAAAGATTCGGTAAGGATCCTATAATAAAACTTATGTCCAAAAAAGCTGTACCTCATTTCCATTCTCAGTGACTTCAATGTAGTGTAGGGCGGCTCTCCGAGAATTCAACCGGCATCAAAAGCAAGTTTTTTTTTTACTTTTACTTGCCTAGATAGCTGAGCGGCCTAGCACGGTGTTCCTGCAATTCTGGTAGACAGATTCCACAGGTCGTGAGTTAAACCTTAGGTTCGGAAGAAAGTAAGTATCTGTATAAATGAATCTCTCTCTCTCTCTCTCTCTCTCTCTCTCTCTGTACCCCATTCCGTAGACAGTGTGCCAATTGAATGTAATGGGACTGTTTAACAATAAAAATAGACGTAGACGTAGTCATGGTGATCGATCATACAATGTACCAAATAGTGTTCTTTTTTCTTTCCTTTCATTTCTCTATTTTATTGTTTATTTCCCCTCTTTGTTAAAAGTTTTACTCTATATTCTTCTTGAAAATTAGCTAAAATACATGTCTTTGTAAAAGTTGAAATATATACCATTGTATTATGATTTGTACCTTGATCTCTAATGGAGAGAACTAATATACATGTAGGCCATTTTTGCGTGCTATTCAATCCATGTTCATTGTATATCCTTCTATGTATATCGTTAATAAAATACTTCTTAAAATAATATATCAAATACATGAAGTCTCTTTTGATTCACTTTTACTTTACGTCAATAAACAATTAGGTCATCTTTACATACGCATTAGTCGGTTCCCTTGAATTTGTAAATAGACTATATAAAAAAGCTAAAGCAAGTCCATATTTTGATCTTACAGCTGTAGAATACATGTACATGCTTGTAATTGTGATTATGGATGCTGCCAAGCGCAAACTCTTTAAGCCGCCAAGTGTGTCGGACGATAGTACATGTTATTCCGATGCAACCCATCGGTTCCTTAAACATAAATTTGCCAATAAATGAATACATGCTGTGAACATTAGTAACATTCTTAATTATAAAATGTTCAGTCTTGTATTCCACTGTATTTCAAGTTGAAGTTTACACCCTGCATATCCTACAGATATCTTCAAACTGTTGCTTCCAAACTTTTTAATTATGAACAAACCTTGCAGTGCCTAGATATTGAACATGTAAAACAAAAAGTAAGTTTTCTTATTCTTCCTCTTCTTTCAACGATAGTCTTGCTAGACACGTCATTGCTGGGGATGTTAATATAGTTAAAAAATGACGACCTAAAAGTAATCATTTTAAAAGCTCCTAAATACAAAGACCCCGGTGTTTCAACTGAGGATAGAACTTCATTTCTATTAGGAATTCTGTCGAAGATTATGCGAGGCGTTGGGAGAAATATGAAGAGCAAGACCTGAACATGTTGTCAGAATGGATTACGTATTCTAGAAATATGTTAAAGAATCGTTTTCGAAAGTTAAAAGGTAATATTCAAAGCATATAACCTTCCGTTTTCACTTAATAGAGGTGATAAAACATTAGAAAGACTAGATAAACAATATGTAATGGTTCCAGCAGACAAGGCTTCTAACAATACCATCTTTGTTTGTACGGCTCATTATCATAGCCGTATTTTAGAAGAACTGTGTTTTAATCCTACATCTGAAAACCCTACTTATACTAGTGCTCACAGTTCACTCGCTTAGAATGAAATTCGAATTCTTTAATACTTGTAGCGTTCTAGTATATGAAGGTGAGTTTGTTCTACCCTGTCCATACTGGATTCCTAAAACTCATAAAAATCTTTACAAATAAAGATATATTGCCGGGCCCAGTAAGTGCTCTATCTTTACTCCTCATAAAAATATTAACTGCTGTAAAAGGAGAATTTTCAGGCTACAGTATATTTTAGAAGTAATGTGAATCAAATGTTGATTCTGAAAAGAACTTACAGAAAATTTAAAATCACAACTGATTTTCAAAGATTAGCAACACCAAAATGTATGACATGTCTGCACTTAATACAATCATTCTTCACGATAAATTGAAAAAAGGCTTTTTGAAATCCTAATCATGTACTTTTTTTAAAAATGGAACTCGGAAATTTTCACTGGATTGGAACCCTTAGTCCTTTACAATGTGAGGGGCATTTTCCAAATTTGTCGTAAGGCTACGAGGGTTAAAGAGAATATCGTGTGACATTAGTGCATGTGTAGCATGTTTTAAAGAAATCAAAATCAAAACTACTTAAAGCACCAGTACACGTGGACTTTTACACTTAAGACCCGAAGTGTGGTCAGGTATCGCATTATACATGTACATCCGTTTGTAAAAAGTACCCAGGGTGCTATAAATAGTCTTTATTTTAATTTCTTTAAAACAAGGTACACGTGAATTCGAAATAAAAGACACTACAGAGTATACCACATTTCATTCATATTTCATTTGAAAAGTATTCTTACTCAGGCATGCCCGAGCATGGAAATACCGCAGACATCTCGTTTGTCATACAGTTTAGTTCTTGTTGGCCCTTATCGTCTTTAGTCAGTAAAACATAAAAATGTAAAAAAAAAAAAAAAAAAAAAAAAAAAAAAAAAAAATGATGTTTGAGTTTCTGATCGACAACATCTACTGATGTTTTTGGAGATCAGATCTTCCAACAATATGTTTGAATTCCAATTGGTGTTAATTGTGCCTTGTTATTAGTAGACCTATTTATGTTTTCATATGAAACGGAATTTATTCAAAAAATTCTAGACGAGAAGAGGAAAACGCTTTCTGTGGCCTTCAACTCGACGTTTTGCTCTATCGACGACGTACTATCAATTAATAATAGTTACTTCCATGCATATGTCGAATCGATATATCCTAGTGAACTTGAAATAAAAGACACCACAGAATCTGTCACATCTGTTTCATATTTGGATATTTTGCTAGAAAAAGACATAATAAAGATAATGATAAATGTGATGACTTCAATTTTTCAATCGTCAACTTCCCTTACTTATGTAACAATATACCATTATCACCCACATATGGAGATATGTCTCCCAGATGATTCGATACACAAGAGCATGCTCTACGTACGATGCATTTTTAAAACGAGGCAAGCTATTAACCAAGAAGTTGATGAAATAAGAATATCAACAGTCTCTTTTGAAGTCATCATTTCGCAACTTCTATGGTCGATGCAATGACCCTGTCAGCAAATACAACCTATTATTAAGTCAAATAATGACTGACGTTTCTCATACTAATTGTTAGTACATTATAAACACACATGAGTACATGGCGGGTGTGACCGGTCGGCAGGGAATGCTCACTCTTCCATATTTCATGAACATGACCCAGTTTTGATGCATGACCTGAAGTTGCAGACAATCATCCTCTGGACATAAATGTGTTTTGCTTTTTCTTGACCATGTATTATTATGAAATTCACTCCGACAATCTATGGTTATAACACAAATGCGGTACATTTTCTTTTTGCCAAGAAAGAGGTACTTGTGTTCCTCCGTGAAGTGACTCGCTGAACATTGACTTTTAATTCTTATCGTTCGTGTCATTGAACTTCATGAAATAAAATTATTTTAGGCTGTGTCACCCTCTGGAAAACAGCAACGTTTTTTTTTCAGATATGAGCACAGGTTACAGTGCTAAATGGCCAGGATGCGAATATGCAAATTTAGACAAGCCTAGTCATTTGGAAGAAGTGTTTTGGTTCATAGTAATGATACATTATTTATTCATTTCCTGCTTATGTGTATACATTTTATAATTTTCTTAGTTGATGTAAGTATTTTAAATTTGATTGGTATTGTATATTTACCATAAAAGATATGGTATAAATCCTAGGCTAATGTAACCTATGGCAAAAGATTAAAAAAAAAATTAAAAGTGATATTGCAGCTATTTTAAGTATAAAATTAAAAGCAATTTAATAATTGAATCAAAAAGCTAATATTTTATGTCGAGTGAATAGAATGGTAAAATTAAATCAAATAAACTTTTGTACTTCCGATGACATCGCATACAAGTACACATTCAAATGAACAATGACACGTAAGCTTTATTATTTAAAAATACTGAACATCAGGAAATAATGCATTTAAAAAAATAAAACAACATATATTTAATTGAATGTTTGCATGGTGAAATTAGATCAATATTTTCAGACAGTTTTTTTCATAAATGCGTCTTATATTTGATTACTGTACTTGTACATGTATTCAGTCCACATTACTCTGTACATGCGTGAAACATGTAAAATTCCGATTCTCTTCCCTGAAATTTCTTAGAATAAGTCCATCTGGAATTTCCTGGTACAGTGGATCATTTGGAGTTTGATTTTGTAAGTTTGATACATTTTGAGTTATCCGGTTCTTCATTTTTACTATAAAACGCACACCACAAAGTACAATACTGATTGAAAATATCACTAATGTGCATAGAGCGATGATTTTGTTCGTACTCCACGGACTCTGAGCTTTGTTTGAGAAATCTACACCCAAATCATTCTTATTATTCAATGTAGAATATTCGTCTAAATTCGTCGTTGAAAAATAAAAAAAAAATGAATTCAAAATATGCACATGTGTATGGGCATAACAAATCTGACATTAAGTATGATCTTAAAATGAATGTTGAAAAAGCATAGGGTGAGTTTACCATGCATCGTACACCCTTGCACTTCAACATGTTCTAGCGATATCGCTACCGACCGAACATTATAAAAATGGAACTTAACATGTAGTATGTGGTTAAAATATAAATTTTTGACACAATCATGCCCTATTTATTGAGAAAATATCATTAAAACCGATTTTTTTCGAAATAAGTCAGAATTCACCATGGATCGGACAATATTCACCATGCATCGGACATACAATATTTAAACCAGAAAAATATCATACCTTGACCTCGGTGCTTTAAAATTAGTGATATCGAAACATGTTTATCGTTTATTTAAAAATTGACCTTCTAATTAAATTTGAATGACTATTTTGATCCACAAATATGAGGAGATTTTAGTTGCATCACATCGCCTTAGAAAGGCTTTACAATGCTAGTAATATGGCAACTCGCGCCTTTGTCTCATGGGTTATAACCATCTAGTTAAAAGAAATTAATTGAGTCCACTTCTAGTCGTCATATATCGATAATTTGTATTTTCACTGAAAATTTAGAGTTTAACTTTCTATTTTCTATTTCCGTAAAAAAACAGCTGTCATTTGGGTTTTACATGAAAATGGAAGTGATTACCCATGCATCGGAAAGTGTCCGATGCATGGTTAATTTGTGTCCGAAGTACGGTGAAATAAACATACTAGTTAAAAACAACTCTAAAATATATTATACAAACATTTAAGTAAAATTTTTGAAAAATTTCTGTAATATTATCAATCATTGGCAAGTTTTACAAAAGTCCGACCCGTTCCGTTGACGTCTATTTAAAAGAACGACAACTCTAAAAATTGCAAAATCATAAAATTACTCCCCTTTGATGATGCAAAATATGACGTAATTTCAAGGCCATTCTTGTGGTATTTTTATCACAACATGAAAATAAAAATCAACATCATTAAAAAGTTTAATTCTTCATCTTTAAGACAGAAACAAGTAAAAACACGGGGAGACTCAGGTTCAATGAAAATTTATCGCTTAAAGTTGTCCGAAGCAAGGTATGTGTCCGATGCATGGTTAACTCACCCTATATGTACCTGTAGAAATATTCATACATCCAGTGCTGTGGTGACACTCTGTCTCATTGCATTGACATTCGTGTTGACAATCCTCTCCGTAGCTCGGGTACGTACATTTTTCAGAGCAGTTTATGGCAATATATCCTGTTGGGCATCCTATAGACATGCATAAATAAATGTTACAAACCGACTACTTTTTATTTGACAAAAATTGTGTTTGAATTTTTTATTCCAATTTTCAATATTATGACGTATATTCCAAACGCCGTTTTAGCATATAACTAATGGTAAATTCTTGGTACTAATATTTATTACTCACTGACACAAGCGTTTCTATCCCAAAAATATCCGTCACAGCAACCATGGGCGTTCCTAAAACGTATAAGTGTTTAAAATCCTGATTAGACTTTTAAAGCATTGAAAAATGGAGTGCTTTCGAGAGGTACAAGTATATCCTCAAATATATAATAGCTTGCAATTGAACACAAATAAATATTATTACTTTAAAACTATTTAGAAAAAAATTGATTAACACAATTTATTACTAAAGAACAAAGGTTATTTGAAATAATATTTTAAAACATTCTTTGAACTGTAAGGGAAAAAAGCGAACACGTATACATGTATAATAACCCTAACACGTTTTATGTGTTGACTGAGCTTTATTGTTATCCTACAATCATTACGTCTTGATTGGTATTAAACATTTAAAATTGCCCTTTAATATTTTTAAGGAATGTTCATAAATTCTCTAATTATACATATATATGCATATGTATATTTATTTACATTTGCAAATATTTTTCTTAGATGAACCTATTGAAGAGAAAATATGTTCAATTCTGTATGAACTTATTAGGGGGTCAGAGGTCAGGGCGTGACCGAATCACACCGCGAATGATATCTTCTCTACATATTTCTGTCACGGTGACACTGGTTTCGGAACTTCTAAGCCGTTACAGCGATGAAAAAGATAAAATTATTGAAACATATATGTTTTTTTTTCGTTCGACAAATGATCATTAGTTCTTTCTTCGGTATGAAGAATGTTTTTAATTAGCCTAAAATCACGCTTACCTTTTTAACCCGAAATTCCTTTGAAGGTATGTAAACTGAAGACGATGCCACCGTTTTTGACTTCATATATTAAGAACTCATACAATAATAGTAAGATTATTCTCAGTAGCGATCATGGTTTTTTCATTATGAACAGATATTTCCTGAACTGGACTGCTGAATATCAATGTAAGTATTCAAATGTTGGAGCGAGGCGAACTCTCAAGACCAAACAGCTTCTAGGTCATTGTGCGTCACAACATAGCAATACGGCGGGCCGTTCGTGTAATAAATGCAGTTCTTTTCAGAATATTCGTCTCAAATGTAAATAAAAGTAATAAACAACAATGGTAAAAAGTTCACTGGGAAATGAACTTGGTTGGTACGTGATCAAATCTGATGAGAAGACCTTCGGGCTTCACAGGATTTGATCACGTGACCAACCATGTTCATTTCCCAGAGAACTTTTTAACATTGTTGTTTATTCCTTAATTGTGCAGAGCCTTACAAAGTTTACGCACATTTCCCTCCTTAATGATCAAAAGATTTAAGCAGAAAGAAACTACACATGAATAGATTTATTTTTAGATTTGAAACACTAGTAAGTTATTAAACGGTTGTAAATTTATAAATATAGCAAGCATGTAGAGTTCATGAAGTTTACATTACCCATGACAGCTGTCCATGTTCAAAACACTCGAAAAACTGTCTATTAAGATCCAAAGTAAAATCGAAATAGCACATGAATGTAGATCAGAAAACATTATCTTCCAAAACCATTTCTTCAATACTCTAAAATGTTGTTCAAGAGATAAGTTTTAATACTAATAAATAATTTCCGTGTTTCTCGATGACAATTTCCTCCTATTCATTATGAAGAAGTATATTTTGTAAATGCGATGTGCATTTTAAAATACAAGTTCAATCGTTTACATAACTTTCCATTATTAGATACACAATATAGATGACACTACTTTTAATATAAATCGTCTTTGTGCTAGCGATGCTCAGGACTTTCTTTAATCTCCAAGGAATCGAATATTTTTTTTTATAAATTAGATAATTGTAGAATTTTCTCATCCTGTCAACCGGTATTTTAATTATAATAATATTAATAATTATTTTGATTTTATTTATTTTGAAAATTCAGCATAGATGTTGAAATTTTCTAGGAAAAACAATTTTCCTAACTACCCGCCGACCCAATTTTTAACCCTTAGTCAGGAGGGCAAACAAGCATGTCATTTTTTAAAACATGGACCATCCTTTTAGCTTTCTTTTTTTCCCTGTTATGCAATGCAGCCAAATCTTTTGTTGTGTAATTGATTGGTTGATCATTGTTTGAAGCTTTGACGATTTGAAGTTGTAAGTCACTGAAAATATCACAATGTATGAGCATTACACTAAAAATTAGGTTATAATCTCTGTCAAAAATAATTTGATACAATACCTGACGAAGTTTATGAACAAACTCAATAATTAGCATGAAGACTTTATAATTATAATTAATAATAAACCTTAAAATCATTGAATTGGCAGTCAACGTTTATCAAAAGTTTGATATTGAAATACAGAAATATGTGTTGCAATAAAAAAAAATCGTATTTATTATAAATACAAGCCTATGACCATGACCACGTAAGTCAAAACTTGTATATGCCGGGCTGAAATGTTAATGTGAAACAGTCTATAATGTAAAAAAAATGTTTTCAATATTGGATATCACCAATGAACTGTTATCTGCAAACTTAGAGATTACCAATAAATAAATTTGACTTACGTGTATGATTCCAAGACTTACTCTCTGTAAGAATACGTCGGGAAAAGGATAAAATTAAGTTGAATTGACATGCAATAAAAATATTAACTAACCTCTGTGAGATTGCCGTTGTCTTCCAGTCAAATCGAATTTCGGTTTCATTTTATTGTACTCGCTCTGTGTCCACTTAACTTTTCCTCTAGTTTTTAGTCGGATTTCAGTAAAGAGGACATGTACACGTATCACACAATATCACATCAGAGAACAATAGAAACACGAGTAGAGAAAGGTGATAAGACGAAATATTTTGTCAAATTTCACCGAAGTCAAGATACCTTTTTACTATCGAGTTTGATAAAGAGGAAGGTTTAAGGTTAAAAATATAAAACTTTAGAAGTTATTTTTTTGCGAAGGAGAATGATAACATAACATTGAACAATTTGATGATATATATATATATATATATATATATATATATATATATATATATATATATATATATATATATATATATATATATATATATATATATATATATATATATATATATACACTCTCTTCGTGTATTTTATACCTACATAATCTTTTTTAAAGAAATCTGTTTTATGTCGTGTGTTCGTGTTTAAACTTAATGAACACAAATACTTTTACTACGCAAGATTCATATTAATATTGCATAGGTACATGTAGTTATATAATTTTCTTCTTAACCCCGTCTTTAGAAGTAAATTTATAGTTTTTTTTTATTATTGTCCCCTCGCAACGGAGTTTGATGGGATATAGTAACGCAATGTGTGTGTTTGTGTTTGTTTGTCCTTGATCGATACTGAAGTAACGTAACTTGCATTGAGATCGATGTCGAATGCTTCTTGATTTATATATTGATATGACCTTTGCGAGGGGATGCACTGCCTTACTTTGCCCTTGTTTTTTTTTTTTTTTTTTTTTTTTGTTTGTTTGTTTTGTTTTGTTTTTTTTTTTTTTTTGGTTATACTTTTAATAATATTTAAAACGAGTCTAAGTTTGAAGTGGGTCTCAAAGAAACATACCTGAAGATTTATTTTGGCAGCCTTTACTATGATGGCACATTTCCTGCGTACATTTGCATTCATTTTGACAGTTCTCCCCATAGTTTGGATACTCACAAATTTCAGAGCAATTTATCCCGGAATATCCATTTTGGCATACTTCAGAAAATTGAATCGTTTTGAATTAGTTTCAAGAGAAATATGCTAAATAGAAATGAAATATAATTTGGGTGGTTGAAATTGCTTGAAGGTTTTGGCAACTAGTATTGTAAACAGTTTGTAAGAAAGGTCTAAAAATAAATGATAATGTGCAATCCAAATTAGGACTGCTTAATGGAACTATTAATGTTTTTTAATCAAATGTGCTAACCTTGTTTCCTTTTATTTTCATAAATAATGATAATTAAGTACGATATTTATTATTATGCGAACCTACAGTTAAATTTTAGCACATTTCCATCTACATCTTGTGTAGCATTCTAGTGCAGTGATACAAGGAAAGGAAATATACAGATAATGAACGGTAATCATGCTCAAAAGTCCATTGAAACTATGCAAACACATAAAAAAGCAAACATGAACCTTTAAAAACGTCAGATGTGGGATCGGGTGCCATGGAGGAGTAAGCATCCCCTATTAACCGGTCACAGTAATATTATCATACTCACTAACACACTCCCTCTTCTCTTCATTCCATACGAAGCCTTCACAGCAACCGTAAGCATACCTAATGAGTAAAGACATCTTTGACCATTTAGTTCAAAACGTTTTAAAGTATCAACGCTATACACAACATTTTCCGACAAATTTATGTAATCCATGTTACGTATGAAGATCAGACAATACATATAATAGTACGTACCCAACACATCCATCCATATTAGAAACAATCGGAAGACCACCAAAAGAGCATAATAAAATGATTACAGGGGCATTTGAATTGATAAACATTTTCAGTGGTCATTCTTGAAAAAGATCCGTTATGATGTTCTCAGACATTTTATTATTTCCTCAAAAAATTGTAATGATCATTTCAGAAAAAAAATATCTTCTTCCGTGTTTTCACGAGGAAACGCCCCAATTACATTTATCCGCATTATATTATTAATTGTCAACGATTATGGAACACGCTTATATCCCTCAAGAATTTTTGTTAGTAAAGATTGTAAAACGAATAAAACTGATATAAAAATGATATCTTCGATTTGCAGTAAAACACGCTTATAGCGAACACTCTTATATTAAATTGACGCTTATAGCGAAGTGATTTTCGTTCCCCATGGGGTCTAAACATATTGTGAAGCTAACGGATATAACGAATTACGTTTATAACGAAGGAAAATTGCCCGTCCCTTGCACTTCGTTATAGGCGTATTTTACTTTATATGATTATTAATTATAAATCATTTGCAATTACATTGTAGATATATAATATTCTTAGTGTATTTTAAAACTCTAAATTATGTTATCTTTTATGCCCCGTAATCGAAGATTCGGGGTATATAGTTTTTTGCCCTGTCCGTCCGTCTGTCTATCTTTCTGTCTGTTTGTATGTATGTCCGCAAAAACGTTACCTTTGCCCGTAAATTTTGATTGGGTGGAGCAATGACATTCATATTTCACAACCAACATATTTGACCTCTTGGCCTTGAGATTGGAGTTGTACCCACTTTTGCAAAAATTATCAACTTGCCATAATTTTTGAAAATTTGTGCTAGGGCATATTCATACTTCACATGTGTATTTATTAAGAAAGACCTTTCCAGGGTATAAATATTTTTTTACCTTTTGGCCTTGACCTTGATGTTTTTCTTCCTTCAACAAAAATACTTTAACCTTGGTCATAATTGTTAAACAGTCGGTGCCAGGGTTTTCATATTTCATAGGTGTGTTTTTGTGACAAGATCTTTCATTTGGATACCAAAATATTTTACCTCTGGAGTTTGTCCTACTTTTTAAAACTTAAATCTTTGCAGTAACTTTTGAACATTTGGTGCTAGGGCTTTAATTATATTTCACATTTGTATTTCTTATGACAAGGCCTTTTTCTGGGTATAATTAATTTTGACCCTTTGGCCTTGACCATGGAATTAATCTACTTGAAAAAAAAAAAAGATCTTTAACTTAGACCATACCTTTCGAATAATTGGTGCTTGTGCATTTATATTTCATAGGTATGTTCACTGAGACAAGTCTTCTCTATGGGTAACGACATTTTCGATCTCTTGACCTTTGAGTTTTACTTGCATTTGAGAAACTTAAACCTTCCCCATAAGCTACCAGAAGCGGGCATCAGTGTTTCATAAATACATCTTGTTTAATATATAATGAAATGAACGAAGTATTCTTAAAATTAAAAAAAAAAGTTTGTATCCACTAGGTTCACAGTCTCCATTCTAAATATGGAAAATAATTTGTTTATTTCTTCTTTAATGAAATTACTTTATTTCTTTTGCAACACTTTACGAAAAAAAACAAAACAATATGCCAGATATTAGTCATTAATGTAATATATTGAAAACTCTTATTTGATATTTAATTGTAAACTCGGTCTTTTTTATGAAGTGTTCATCGCTTATATGATATCGTAATTTGAAATCAAGAATTGTGACGTCGCAGTGCTTTTAAAATAAATGTTTAAATAATATATATAGTAGATTTTTAACTATCAAAACAGTTTAAGAAATTAAAAAAAAAAAATTCCATGATTTTGATTTGATATGATTGTTATCCAAAACAATGGATACATATATCAAACCACAAACCATGGGAGATGCTATGTACAAGTATACACCTAAGGGTTACAAAAATTTACAGACTTTTGTGACGGTACATATTGTCGTTTTGTACATATTATCGTCGGCGACAATATGCACCTACCCTTACTGCACATATTGACGTCCATCAGTACATCTTGTCGCCGGCTGGAAAGTTACACAGTCATGTACATATTGTTGCCGGCGACATCATGCGCCTTACCCTCACTGCACCTATTGTCGACCCACAGATATACTGCTACTTAAAGTTTTTTTTTTTTTTAGATTTGTGAATGTAATTGGTGTGTAAATCACATTGCCGTATCTCGTATGCTATTCATGCAGTGTGATTGTGACGGTACATTTTGTCGTCCTCTTCATATTGACGCCGGCAACAATGTGTAAATATCCTCACTGTGCATATTGTTGTCTATCAGTAACTGTAGCATGACAATGCATGACAATGTTTCCATATAGATAAATATATATATATAAGCAAAAACAAACAGAATTTACACAAGAAAAGAAAAAAAAAAAGAATAAAATCAAAAGGATGGATGTGGGGGGTCGCCGATGCTAGATCTGGCTGTGGTTTTTGAGAAGATTTTTAAAGATTTTCTCTATACTGTATATTCCTATGTAAAACTTTGATCACCAATAGTGTCTCCACCTTAGTAAACATTCCTCAACGCAATATATCTGCGACAAAATGTGCATATGTTCACAGTACATATTGTCGCTGACGACAGAATGTGCCGATGTTTGACTGTACATTTTGTCGTCCATTACGCAGGAGAGAAAAAAGGCTCGTCTCGGTACAAATTGTCGCCGGCGACAATATGTACCGATGGACGACGATATGTGCAGTGAGGGTTGTGACAGTACATATTGTCGTTTTGTACATATTGTCGTTGGCGACAATATGTACCTACCCTCACTGCACATATTGTCGTCCATCGGTACATATTGTCGCCGGCTGAAAAGTTACATATGTACATATTGTCGTTGGCGACATTATGTGCCTCATCCTCACTGTACATATTGTCGTCCCACAGATGTTGTTATTTAAAGATGTCTTTTGTTGTTTTTCGGTAGTTTTGTGAATGTAATTGGTGTGAGAATCACACTGACGTGTCTCGTATGCTATTTCATGCACCGTGGTTGTGACGGTACATTTTGTCGTCCTGTTCATATTGTCGCCGGCGACAATGTGTACCTTCCCTCACTGCGCATATTGTTGTCCATCCGTGTAATTGTATATGTTAATTATTTAATTATGAAATTTTACCTGTGGACTAAGTATATACAAGTTAAACAGAATTTACCCCCCAAAAAAAAATCAAACGACCAAGCGAAGGAGAGGGGGGGGGGGGGGAGGGGAGGGTGCTACATCTGTCTTTCGTGTTTGAGAACATTTTTAAAGATTTTCTGTATATATTCCTATGTAAAACTTTGATCAACCATTGTGGCCCAGCATTATCCCTGGGATCATGACTTGAACAAAATTGATTTTTTTTTGTTTGTTTGTTTATTGTTAAAATGTCCCTCTCGAGAATTTTTCATTCAAATTGAGACGTCACCACTTACCGGTGGAGGGCTGCAAATTTAGACCTATACTTGGCACTCAGGATCATTGAGCAGTGATGGATCTTTTTTGTCTCAGCAACTCAAAATTGAACGTACGCTTTGAAGCTTTCACATAATCATCTCTTCTGACCCAGAAGTTCTTGAAAAGAAGATTTTGAAAGATTTTTTTTCCTAAATATTCTATGAAAAACTTAGATCATCTATTGTAGCCACACCTATCCCCCGAGGGACATGATCTGAATAAAACTAAATCTATACTTTTTAATGAAGCTTTCACACAAGTTTCAACTTTTCTGACACAGTGGTTGTTGAGAATATTTTTAGAAGTCACTAAATTTTCACTTATTCTTAACTACTTCCCTTGACAGAGGACATGGTCCTTCATTTGAACAAACTTGGATCCCCTTTATCCACGGATGCAAGTTTGGTTGAAATTGACCCAGTAGTTCTTGAGAAGAAGTTGAAATTATGAATAGTTTACAGACGGACGGACGGCCAGACAAAATGTGATCAGTAACGCTCACTTGAACTTCCAGTTCAGATGATGTAAAAATGTTATTTTTTGCGTTATTCTTATATTATTATTAACAATAAATTATATCTATAATATTATATCGGCACATGATCGAAGAATAAGAATAAAGCAAAAAATAATTTTCCAAATAATCATTTCTACTGAACAAATAAAAATACCTGTATTCAATCTCCAAGTATATATTGCAAGAAAAAAATAATAACTGATTTATCAGATATCTCAAGAATTACGGTATCTTGATATGTCATAGTGATGTACATCTATCCTGGACACAATTCTCCCTACAGTATTGCGAGTAATGTTGTCTGTCTCCCTCCGTGCGTGTATGTGTTTGTCAATCTCTCTTTCTTTTCTCACGTAAATATTCGTCAAAACAATATATCGACGACAATATATGCCCACCTTGATTGTACATATTGTCGCCGACGACAATGACGTTGCGCACGGTGTTGGTACTATAAAATCTTACTCTTTAGATGTCGTAAAGAAACTGGCGTTTTCAAGATGTTAAAGTTACTAGAAATTAAAAATGAAATTAATTATTTTATCCAAGGTAATGAATTATTCTAAAAATTCTCTTTTTAATTATATAAAAATATCTTAGCTATGATATGGCTTTATTCATTATTGGTTATTACGGCGAAATTCCCGTGTCCAACGTTACATAAATTATTGTTCGCGCAACTACAAGATATAAAAAGATCCACTTCCAATCCTCTAAATTAAATAAAATTTAGGAAATACAATAATATGTATGCATTCTTTGTGATATTGTTGAATTTTTAGCATCATTTTCTCAATTTCACGAGTTTGGGCTGTATCTACAGTGCGTAAGTAATATGTCCAACAGGAAAAAATCGTTTCCTAAAGTTGATATTAGCCCGCATGGCGATGTGTACTGGACATAAATGCCACACAAAGATAAATTTTGATGAATAATCTTTAAGTACATATGTTTCTAAAATTAGTTATGTTGATACATGCTATATAACTGCTGATACGTTAATATTAGTAAGGCTTTGTTAAGTGTAGCCATTTTGTTATGCACGTACGAGTCGCTGTACTTTTACTTAATATGTCTCAGTTACATATCAAAT